GCGGCGACAGAGGCCCGCGCGCCCGGAGACTCCATTTTCCTTCCTTTGTCTCTGCCCTCGAGGCCGGTTCTTGGCCCGACTGATCGCCGGGCCACGGCCCGCCCTCTGTCCTCCGCCCCTCCCGCGGCGGGTGGCCTCAGCCGAGACTCGTTCTCAGCGCCCCGGCTTCCGCGCCCGGTTAACTCCAGGGTCTGGACCCTTTGCCACCGCGCGCGCGGCCGGATCCCGGTGCCGTATGGGTGTCTGGTCCCGGCCGACGCGTCTCGAATTACCCATCCTCCAGTTTGCCCGGTCCCGGAACCTACCGGCTGCCCTGCGTGCGTCCCCAGCCGCTCGGTTGCTCGGCAGTCGCTCCCGGTCCGCGCGTCACCGCCGCTGGTCTCCGTCTCCGCCGAGTGGCGCAGGCGGCGCTGCTGCGGCTGCGAGCAGAGGGACCCCAGAGCTGCCGAGAGCTCCCTCTGCAAGGCTGGTTGAGCTGCCAGCGCCTCGACGCCGCCCGAGCGGGCGGGGGGACGCGCGCTCGCCGCCCCCGCCAGGCCCCGCTGCGCCCCCAAACTCGCGCTCGGGCTCTTCACCCGATAGGCCCGCCACGGGGGGCTAAGAAGATGAAAGTTCCGCGTCAAATAGTTTTTGTCCAGCCAGAGTTGGACTCTACCAAGCACCTTGGAGTGAGTGATAGCCTCACTTTGTGCGCTCAGAGATCTCAAAGGGACAGAAACTTAATTTCACTTTGATTTCAAGTGACATGACAAACTCCTGAATTCTGGAGTATGTGCTGTCTAATATCCCGATGCTAACTTACTGCACTATATAGTACCTGATGCTTTAGGGCTAGGCAAGGCAGTTTTGCCCCCGGAATTGTGCAATCTGATCTAAAGCGCCAGTAGGGCAGAATGAATTTATTCTTGACTCGACTGGTAATTTGCCCGTGCACTGAAATGTGAGGGTTGATGTTGTAATTGAATCCTAGGTCACTCGCTGCAGATGGTTTATAAATATCTATGCCTAATGTAACTACTCTTCAGTAGCTGACTTCCTGTATCTCTGAGTTCAGCATTAAGTAAACAGTCACATACATAAAGTCCTCATTTTTTGAATTTCGATCAAATAGAAAAGTCGAAATACCTATCCACATTTTCCCATAGGGGAAAAGAAGTTAAACAGGTCAAATATTTAAATTGACTCTGTCCTTAAGTCTTGCATCATTAAAAAGCTTCCGCTGTTGAATTGCTGGAGTTTTTTTTTTCTCTCTCTCTCCCTTCCTTCCCTGCTGCTGCTCACGTACCTTAATACAGTGCCCTGTAGTAGCTGATGTATCAACTCAGGTTCCTTAGGAGAGAAGAAAGTCTGGATTGAAGTTTTTAAAGCAAGAAAAACTAGGTTAAATTTATGTGGACGACAGAACACCCTGGTGCTATGTAAAGTTGTTGTGTCCACTGTATGTAATCTCAATCTATAGGTCCTTGAAGCAGTCTTGGTCCATATGCAACTCTTTCAACATCCCTTTTTTGAACTCTACAAGATGTTTTCAGTCCCCCTCTTCTCCAATAGAATTATACTAAGTAACTAGGTATAGTAATGTTGATGGAGTGTCAAGCTTGGGAATAGAACCACCTTTAATTATTTAATACTTCATTTGAGTAATTTATTGCATTCTTTTGTGTTTTCAGTGTTCTTTTTGAAATTGTGGATGACAAGTGGCATATTTTATTTTTTAAAATAAGCTCCACAGAAGTTTAAAATTCAGCAGGTTTATAATCGCGATAGGAGTACATTTTGTTTTCCCAGATTATCATTGTGCTCCACAGATCATATTTTGCTTTTTGAATTGGTTTTTCATATGGGGTCATTACCTTCTTGGTCTTATATCATTTATGCTGTCTTAATGGTGTAGACCTTGTCTATGTACTTGCTCTCCTTTGAGATTCTTGTATGCCAGGGAACATACTTGGTTTTTATTGGGAAAACTAAATCTGTAGAAAAAATAAATTGAGGATGAATTCAAAATAACCCAAAGGACCTCAGTAATATGAGGAAAATTATAAGAATGTTTGCCTACATAAGGAGATACTGCTTATTTAAAGAGTAATTGTAAAAGTTATTCTTAAGGATCCATTCAGTCTACATAGGAACATATAAGAGATGTGACTATTATCTTTAGGGTGTAAATTCTAAGGGATTTACCATTCTGATTTAAAGGCCATTCAGAAATGAGGGCAACCACCTGGGACTTATGAGTGGCTTGGGGAATTTCTTGGCAGAGACCACCTGTGGCTAACTGAGGCCCTTGGGAGAAGTCCTGTGACAGAGTCTTGCACAGTGGTGCTTGCTGGCAGAGTCGCTTCTAGAGACTTTTTGTTTATTTGTTTGTTTGTTTCAGAGATGCTGCTGGCATCACAGCCACTCCACCTCATATACTATATAGTTTTCATCTCATTTTTTAAAATTGGAAGCTTTTACCATGGCTATCTACCTACCTTATTTACCTGTCTTGGTTCCAGATGACTTCAACCCTTTTGCCAAATATTAGATTCTTTTTCAGACAACTAAGATTTCTTATAATTTTAAGACTTTTTGAAAAGGGACATATAAGTTTCGAAGGAACAGCAATGGTAAATAATGTGTAACTTTGGTGACCATGATTCTCAGTTGGATATGTAGATTTGTCTCATCACATTTAAACACCTTTAAACTTTTTCTGGTAGTATTTACTATATTTCCTGTTAATATCCTTGTGCATTTTCTCAGTGATTTAGTATGAGTGCCAAAATATTGCATTGCAAATTGGTTACTGACATATATCCCAAAGGCAATATATTATCCCATACTTAATCTTCATTTTAGATCACTCTTAGGATTTTTAGGGGTATAAAATTCCATTCCCTTTGAAGCATGTTGGTGATGATAGGAACTCTAGGCCAATGCACATGCCTTTAATCTCAGCTAATTGGTAGGCTGAGGGAGGAAGACCAGAAACTTGAAGCCAGCCTGGGCAATTTAGCAAGACGCTGTCCCAAAACAAAAATTTTAAAATGGGCTGGCCAGAGATGTGGCTCAATGATAGTGCACTTGCCTAGTATGTGTGAGACCCTGAGTTCAATCCCCAGTAACCCTCCCCAAATATATATACACACTAAAGTACAAAAGTGTTTATTGAACTAAATATACTAATTCTCTGTGTTATAAGTTGCCTCTCAACAGAGACTTCTTAGCTTGGTCTAAGAAAGTGTAATGTCAGCTTTGATTTGTGGGCTAGTTCATTATAAGAAGGATTTCCTCTTATTTATATCTCATACTCCAAATCATTTAGAAGCTCTTAATTCAAATTTAGTTCTTACATTTATTTCACTTGGGTTTGTTCGTTCCTTTCTTTCTTTTTTTCTTTCTTTCTTCTACTCTACCATTGCTTGAAGCTTAAAATTCATATTGTAACTTAGTGGAAGAAAATGTCAGCTAACAAAGTATTCCATTGTTTAACTACAGAAGTATTTCATTGCTATTCTTCTAGGATTTTCCGAGGTCAGTGAAAGCTCTTCTCCCTATAGTATCTTACCAAACTGAAAATTAGTTGTGCAATGTAAACTAACTTAATCAGTAAGATCACTATTTACTGAAGATAAGGAAATAAATTGTTAAAGGACTATTATTGTGGCTGTAAGAATTAATTTTGAGAATGGATATAGCTCAGTAGTCAAGTGTTTTACTTAATGTTCATAAGGCCCTGGGCTCAATCCCTAGCATTAAAAAATGTTTAAAAATGTTTTCGATGGTTTGAATACTTGTGCCATTGATTGTAATATATATTCTATATTCTTTCTTGCTTGCTTTTTTTGGCCAGGAGGTACTAGGATTGAACCCAGTGGCATTCTGCTTCCAAGCTATGCCCCCAACCCTTTTTATTTTTTGAAACAGGGCCTTGCTAAGTTGCCAAGGCTGGCCTCAAACTTGTATCTTCCTGCCTCAGCCTCCTAAGTCACTGGGAGGACAAGTGTGTGCTTCTGTGTCTGCCCTACTATTTAGACAATTACGAATCTTTAGTCTTTTATATATCCACAAATGTTTTTAAAAAAGTGAATGTTTTGTAATTGACCTGATGGACATTTGTGGAATGGTTCATTTAGTGACATTACATGTTAAGAATTTATTGTTTTTTCCCCCATTTTAATCAGTCTTTGATTGGCCTTAATTTTTCATGCTATATGTGTATTTGTATGAATTCAGTGTTTCATAAAATGATTTATTCTTTTTTAGAATGAACACAGACCTGGAGCCAAAGAACAAGATGCACTAGTGGACAGAGTGCTGACCAAGGGCTTGAGAGCTGGGTTCTGTTTTCCCTCCTCAAACTGACTTTGCAGCCACGGAGAGGTACATTTCTTGCTCTTAAGAATGGGAATAATGTAATCCTTTGGGGGCTGGAGAATTTGCTGGGTGAATCATGGGAACAGGAGAGGCAGGACATTGGATAGTTGACAGAAGTCAGAGTCCTGGGTTTAAAACTATGCGTTGCCACATAGTAATTAGGTGATGCTCATCAAGTTACTTATCTGTCTGCTCCTACAGTTCTCTCTCCTTTTTTTTTTTTTTTTTTGGTACCTAGAATTGAACCCAAGGCGCTTTACCACTAAGTCACATTCTCGGCCTTTTTTTTTTTTTTTGAGACAGGGTCTTGCTAGCTTGATGAGGCTGGCTTTGAACTTATAATCCTCCTGCCTCATCCTCCTGAATTGCTGGGATCATAGATATGTGCCAGTGTGTTCAGCTACCATCCTCATTTGGAATAGAATTATAGCATCATCAATCTCAACAAGCTATTCTTGGGTGTAATAAGAATATATGTAAAGGATAAATTACCATACTGAGCATATACATAGGAAATCAGGGCTGTTTGTCAGTAGAAACCCTTAGAGTGTATATTTTGACTATTGGCAAATGACCCAAAATGTCCATGGCCTGTGGCAGTTTGTAATTTTGATGAAGAACAGATGGAATACTGTTGTTGGAAGCTGGTATCCTTGATAAAAAATGTGTTAATTAATTTGAGTTAGCCTAACTGATGGCCCATTATTTGCATCAGTGTGTGACAGTCATTATCAATTTACTTCAGATTATAATTCAGCTATAAAATATAATGGACATCATAGGGAACTTGGAACAGGCTTCTCATTTAGGTAGAGATATGCTTTGGGATTTCTAAACAAAGTAGGGTTCTGAGTGAAAAATTATCTATCTTTGACTACCAGAAAGCACATCTTTTTTACCCACAGAAAAATGTGAAAATAATTTAATTTCACTTGTTTGATGGCAAAAAGGAGTACAGAGGTGGAAATTACAAATGCTAAAATTAGATAAATTTATATTAATGAATCATCTCAGTGACTCCCTAAAATTTTTCTTATGAGCTATGTGCAGAGCAAGTAGAGAGGAGGAAGGGAAAAGTAATGAAAGCTCCTCTATTCTTCAGCCTTATGTTTTCCAAATGGGCAGCTTGATATCTTGCTACATGGAAAGAACAAAGTCTGTGATAGTGTCCTGTCCTTTTAGAAATAACTTGTGCCCTATAGTTTTTTTTTTAAGAATGTTGATTCAGAATACATGCTAATAAAGTGCAGAAAAGAGAAAAAAAATCATTATATGAAGAACTGTTGAGAAATCTAGCATTAAGAGTTTAGGAAATGGGGGCTGGGGTAGTGGCTCACTAGTAGAGCGCTGGTCTAGCATGTGTGAGGGACTGAGTTTGATCCTCTGTACCACATTAAAAAATAAACAAAATAAAGGTATTGTATTGGGTCTAAAACTAAAAAATAAAAATTAAAAAAAAAGTTAGGAAATGGGATTATAGGAACATGTTGGTCACTCTTAAGTTTTATGGGTACCTTTAATGTTAAGATTCCTGTTTCTCAAACTGGAATATAAATACTCTCAGGATACAAGGTGGTGTGATTCCGGGGTACTTGAAGCCACAAGATAAACATGACCCATCTTCTTGGAGCTTCAGTTATGCTAATTAAGAGGGCAGTGAGTTAAATAATTTAACTGGTAAGTAATTAAAACTATTATTATGTTTTAAAAATACACATTTTTGGAGCAGAATGTAAACACAAATCTTAAAATGAGGCATGAGTGCTTGGGTTG